ACTGTTTCAATGATAATAATAAAATAATGATAAAATAATAATAATAATACTAATAATAATATCACCAATAATAATAACAACAACCACAATAATAAAAAAAAAAATAATAATAATAATAATAATAATAATAATAATAATAATGACATCACCAAGAAGAACAAAACAGAAATAATAATTATAATCATAATCATAATCATAATAATAGTGAACGCTACTTATTGTTTTAGTCATATGCCTGTCTGAAATCGTTGGGAGATCGACAGTCCCGGCGAGAATCCTCCATTTCTTTCTCTTATATACACGCACCCACGCATGCTCTCACGTACGTACTTATGTATATACATGCCAGTGCGCACACAAGTAGTAGTGCATACTTCCGCGTTCTAGCGACAGATTCAACTGATTTCGCTCGTCCTACAGCAGGAAGTAGCATGCTTTCTGCCGCGCGACCAACACACACTCGTACACATGTATATTTCCATGTTTTAACGGTAGATTCATACGATTTTGCTCTCCCTATGGGTAGTAGTGCCAAGGAGTAGACCGCGGGATGGGAGACTTACTTGCTCCTCTCTCTCACTCCGCAGCCCGATTCGTCACGAAGCTTCAACACAGTGCGTCCATAGCCCAGGCACGATGGACATAGTGCGTATTCCCAGAAGTCGGGCGGGTAAGTCGTGTTTCCTCCCCCTTTCTTTCTTCTCCTTCTTCTCCTTCTCCTTCTTCTTCTTCTTCTTCGTTGTTGTCACCTTCCCCTACTGCCTACTCTCTTCTCTTCGTGCCCTCTCTGCCAGCCGCAGCAGCAGTAAGCTTTGAATGTACCCGGTCGCGGTTTGTGACCGGGTTCATTCAATTCTAGCATTGAGACTTCTTCCTTCTATTTTTTTGGCTCCTCCCCCTTCCTCTCTCCTACTTACACAGACACACACTCACACACACACACACACACACACACATACACATACGCACTCCATCGATAGGATGAGCAAAATCGAAATGAATCTTCTGCTGAAACGGGGAAATGTACACTGCCACCTTTCGATTTGCTCGTTCTATCGATCCAAGTAGCTCGCGTCGAGCCGTGGGTTGGGGACTTAGTAGTTGGCCAAGGTTGGGGACTTATAGTCTCTCTCTCTCTCTCTCTCTCTCTCTCTCTCTCTCTCTCTC